GCCGCCAAGGCGCCGCTGAAGCGCAAGGTGCTCCGGCGCCGGCCCGACGGCGCGCTGGAGATCTGGGACGAGTCGGCCCACAGCGAGCCCCAGCTCTGGAGCRTGCGGCGCCGCTGGAGCGACAGCGTCTCCGAGGGCGAAACGGAATCCGAGGGCGCCAGCAGCTTCCTGGAGGAATCGTCGGCGGATGTGTACCCGCGCCGGCGCCTGCCGCGCTCGCCTCCCGCGCAGCCCAAATCCTTCATCCCGCCGCGCCTGGAGCAGCCGGGCCACGGCCCGCCCAAGACCGACCGCGTGGCCAAATACTGGGAATACCGTCGGGACTGGGCAGCCTTCGGYGTGCCGGGCGAGCAGGCGCACCGCGAGCTGCGCCGCGGCATCCACGAGCAGCTGCTGGCGGCGGCGAGCGAGGCGCCGTGCCGGGCGCGCTGCCCGCGCGCCCCCAACGCCTACGTGGTGCCCACCGAGAAGAAGCGCGCGGCGCTGCGCTGGCACGTGCGCTGCCTGCTGGCCGGCGGCGTCCCGCCCCGCTGCAGCGCCTCCTCCTAGCGCGTCCAGCCCGCTCCGTAAGAGAGCCTCTGGAATAACGAGCTCCTAGGGGCATCCAGCCCCCTCCGTAATAAAGGCTCTGGAATAACGAGCTCCTAGGGGCGTCCAGCCCCCAGTAAAGGTTCTGGAATAACGAGCTCCTAGGCGCGTCCAGCCCCCAATAAAGGCTCTGGAATAACGACCTCCTAGGGGCATCCATCCCCCAATAAAGGCTCTGGAATAACGAGCTCTTAGGAGCATCCATCCCCCAATAAAGGCTCTGGAATAATGAGCTCCTAGGGGCGTCCATCCCCCAATAAAGGCTCTGGAATAACGAACTCCTAGGGCTGTCCAGCCCCCAATAAAGGCTCTGGAATAACGAGCTCCTAGGGGTGTCCAGCCCCCAATAAAGGCTCTGGAATAACGACCTCCTAGGGGCATCCAGCCCCCAATAAAGGCTCTGGAATAACGAGCTCTTAGGAGTGTCCAGCCCCCAATAAAGGCTCTGGAATAACGAGCTCCTAGGGGTGTCCAGCCCCCAATAAAGGCTCTGGAATAACGAGCTCCGTGCAGGCCTGACGTGACGGATGAGCCCTACAGGGTATGGGACCAGCACCCGATGGGGTCCCTGCTCCCTGCAGACCCCTATGGATCCCAGCACC